CATATGCAGCCACAGCCTCGATCATTCTGTTTGCTCCCACATGCAGTTAACCTGAGTAGGAGGGGATATCTGCGTGCAGATAGAGGACTCCGTCGCTTCCTCTGCAGTCATATAAACGTTCATGTTGTATGGAAGCCATATTCGCGGCGCTCCTATTGTAGTTGCTGTATGCATGTGTAACCGTCTTGTTGCAGCCGTCTCTGATGGCGCTGCTGATGCCTTATTTCAGGAAGAGGTCAAAGCCTAAAGGGAGCTGACCGCTTCAGTCTTATGTTGATTAAAGAGATTTAGATTTAACCCCATTTGAATTAGTAAAATTGGTCATTTTAGTATTTCTGGTGTAAAGATTAGCCATTAGGCCTCTAAATTTTAGGGTTTATTTTTTTCACAAGGGTTTTTACTGTTCTCCTTTTTCCTCATGCTTTTCCCGTTGCTTTAGCTTAAACTCGCTAGCCACTAATGAGGAGCAGAGGGGGGCGAGTCTCTGTGATCGCCCCGTTAAGAGTTCTCCTCACTTTAACCGTCCTCATCTCCTGCATCAAAAGAATTTCGTGGAGGAAATTACTTTTTATTTGTATTGTATTCAATTTTTTTGGAAACAAATAAAATGTTCATACAAAGCCTAGTGTTATTTCTTTACACATTCCCCTCTCATCAGACTCATCAGAAATAGGGTGATGTTAAATAAAATCTGGGATCTTTCTACTTGGAATTTCCATGCATGGATGCTTAGGATTTCACTGGATGCTTCAGCTTCCTCATAAATGCATTAATCTGGTTTTAGCATTTTTTTCAGCCCTATGAGATCTAAAAAAACAAAACAAACAAAAAACAAAACACAGTTTCTCAGGATCGGTGTTTTATTATAATTATTATTTAAAGACTGCAAAAATGTGAGTTTCTGTGAAAAAATTGCTAACGAAGTTCATTTTGGATGTAAATTATATAATATTACTGCCTGATTGGCCTAGACAGCAGAAAGGGGAGACATTCAGCGCAGATAAACACACAGAGCTTTGCTACAATATTCATCCTTTTGATGAATATTTTTACACTGATTCATCGATATGGTTTCAATGTCCTCTCAAAACCACAGCAGCTAGTTTCTCTTAACTCACACATGAGAAAAACTGATTTATTTTGTTTGTCTTCCAAGAGATATACATTTTTTTTTTAAATCATGTTCAATCTTGCATCAAATCATCTGCTCTTCCAGTAGGGTATTGTTTTTTTTTTTTTTTTTTAGCTGTTGCTGAAATCAGCTCATGTATTACTAGAAGTCAGGACTTGGTTTCTGCCATTTCAACATGAAGCTTAGAAAATCCTGACCCTGATTTAATTCCTTTGGAAGAGATGATCCAAGTTTATTCTTCCCCTCAAACAGTCAGGATAGAGGTAATATGAGGGCTTTTTGTTTTAATAAAAAGGTCAAATTTACGTTGGAACAATTTTATTTTGCAGAAATATTGCATGACAGGCCAGCACCAAGCTGATACTGGATCCAGTAACTCCTTTTTAAATTATTTATTTTGATGCATGAAATTTAAATTGTTTTTGAAAAAAAATATTCAAGATACAATTGTTTATCATTGGTTTAAATTCTCAAGTGGAAACAGGCTTCTCATGTTTTCTGAAAATGTTTCACTTCTGATCCAACAGACATCTTCGGTTCTGATGCCTTCATCTAAGCTGCAGTCAGAAGACCAAAGGCGGCCCAGTTCAGTTCAATATTTGGGTCATTGGCGCTGGAAGGCCCAAACATGTCACCTAACGATGCCAACATGTGAGCTGTTGTGGTCATACGATTCACGCTAGGAATGATTATAAAACAGTTTAAGGTGACCAGTCAAAGGTTTTTCACCAGCCACCTGGAGCTCCAGAGGCTTTTGTTTATTTGCAAGTTTTCATTGAAACATTATTTACTTTAAATGACACATAAATTGTCCAAAGTTGCAGGGAAGCTTCCTCTTCACCCAAATCTAACCAGTAAACAAAAATCTGATTGTTGAACGCTCAAAGATCTTTCCTCTTACCCACACTTTGCAGACACAAACACTTCACGGCATGGACAGGTGTCGGAAAATGCTCATGCATAACATCACGTTGCACTGTGGACCACTTCTACTGCGCTAACCCTGTTCCTAAATGCTGAAGCGAACATATACACACAAAGCTGCACTTTGCAACACAGAACAGCCATTCTATAGAGAACACCGTGGGGAACATCTGCTCATGCATTCTACTGTCACAAACTGAAGCACACATCTTTAATGCACATATCCCTGCTGACAACACATGCACACGAGCTTAAACTAAACACTTGGCCTGGAGCACACTCACACCCTCTCATGCAGCTCCTTAGGTTTCAGAATGACTAATTTTTCTTCAACTAGACAGGCCTCTCTTGTAATGTCCTACAGCTACTTGTTTGCCTGGTGATTGGTCTGCTGGTATTTATGGTATGTATTGTTTGTGAGTGTGTCATGCTGGCACATTATTCCAGTTAGTCTCTCTCTGTGTTTGGGTAAGGGCATTTGAAATTTCTCAGTCGGGTGGCAACAACAACAAGGGTTTATCTACACGAACACACAGGTGAGGCCAGGGTGCAACGAGGGAAGCAGAGGGAAAGCTACAGGGAACTAGACGGTGAGGAGAGAGGTGGCACGGGAAGCAGATGTGTTGCATCTGGAAGAGTCTGTTCTGGTTTTGATTCTAAAAAATTTTTTTGCTGGAGTCTGGTACAGCGAGGCGAGGAGGGTGAGGGGAAGCTGAAGGGTGCTGAAGAAGACTAGTAGCCCTAAAAAAGAAGAGATGTAGAATGAGAATGACAGAATCAATCGTGGTTAATGACAGACATATATAGAGCTTTACCTGACACCTATCATTGGATTAGATTAAAGTTTGGTGTTATAGGTGGAAGACCATTGACATAATATTTATATTTTTTTCAGATTAGCCAATTATTTTCCTGAAAAACATCCACAGGTGTTGGAACATGGAGTAAACATATACAAAAGCTTTTTTTTATTTTCTTTTTTGTGTGATTCTTCAAAGAAGTACAGAGATAAAGTGATGTTATACATTTCTTAATTTCAAAATCATTTCCATGCCTAAAAACAAATATGTAAACAGTGGTTTTCCTAGAAAACATTTGGTTTTTCCATGCTGAAGTTGTTGACATGTAGAGCAGGGGTTTCTCTTTGCGGAATTACATAATAGTGCTCCAGTAATTTTGTATTATGGCAAACTCATTAACTTTGTTGTTTGTTTACTAAAAAGCCTGTGTATTTTGCTTTCATCGTTGTGGGGTTTCTTCCCGAAGTTTGCAGGGGGGGGGGGGTGGGGGTGGGGGGGGGTGGGGGGCAGTCCTAAAACATCCATACATACTGCTGATAAAACAGTGACCTTTAGACCTGCAGTATTTTATAAATGCATTAAAGAAATAAAACATACACGACCAACTCTCCTTTTTAGATTTTTCACTGAGTTCCTGCATCAGTCCAGTTGTGCTGTCAAATGAATTCCTGTGATGCTCATAAAGACACTCCAAAAAATGAAAATTAAAAACAATCCACCCGACTTTGTTTACAAGTTTGAAGCCATTTCGCTTCCCATCTTATACGTTGCTGAAGTTTCTGAAAAACTTGAAAAGATTTTCTCCAAACACAAAATCCCAGTACATTTCAAACCTAACAAGATCCTTAGACAAAGGCTATTTCATACCAAATACAAAACCCCCAAACCAAATATGAGTGGAGTGGTGTATGCAGTTCATTGCAGTGAGGAATGCTCTGATCTTTATATTGGAGAAACCAAAACCTCTCCACAGATGCATGGCCTAACACAGAAAAGCAACCTCCTTGGGACAAGACTCTGCTGTCCATCTACACCTTATGGACAAAGGACATTCTTTCAAGGACCAGAATGTTCACATTTTGGATAAATAAAATAGGTGGTTTGAGGGGGGCATGAAAGAAGCCATCTATGTTAAGAAAGAAAAACCAACCTTAGACAGAGAGGGTAGTCTCAGCTCCAGGACTCTGTTATCATTGCAGCCCCACCTCCTGTACAGTAGAGCGGAGGTCCTCGTCTTTTCAGCAAGGCCAAAAATCCAATTTAACGACCAACCTATCAGATACTTAGATGGGTATGGGGCATTGCAATCTAATAGAAGAAGCCAAACAACCCTCATTCCAAATGGGTGGACCCCTTCGTCTGTTCCAACTTGCATGTATTCTAAACAAAAACAAGTTGGACTACTGTAAAAACCTCAAACTCAACACTATTCCTGACATTTTGAATTGAAAAAGCTTCTTGGATGTCATGAATATCATCGCTGTCAGTTTGATATAGACTTCTAGCTTTTGTTCAGTTAATGTTCATATCCAGCGTGATGTTCTTTATTTCTGCAGTCATTAATTCACAAAGCTAATGCACACTCCATCCTTACCATGGTCCTGTTGCGGAGAGTTGCAACTCTTTTTCACATCGTTATTCCATTGACACACAGGTAGAGAAGAAAGGTGGAGACTGTTTAGCCAATAGGAATGCAGAACACAATGCCCCATGCAAATCCGTGAAGCAACGAGGCCGTGAAAAGTGAACCGCATTTTATCGAGGATTCACTGTATTAATCTTGTAAATGTTAGTGACTTTAAAAACAATAAGAGCAGAAATACTTAGTAATGAATGTTTTTTGTTTTTTAAATTTGAATTTATTCTGGTAAAATTTGTCTAGGACCCAATTATCTGTCTGTATTTAGTGTCTTTGTTTTTTATGATTATTTACTAGAAAGAAAAGGAAATGATGTGTTAAGTTTTTTTTAAACCAATGTCTGTTTCTATAGTTTTGCATTTGAGTTTTATTCCAATCAATATTCAACTAATCAGAGAAAAACAGATAAGGACACACAGCCCTGAAAAATCACTGCAACTCTTCTTTACTGTTAATGTTTACAGTTTCTGTTAATGATTCACATATCAAATAAATAAAAAACAGCCATTTTAAAGAACAATCTTTATTAGAAAGAAATGAAAAAGTACAGTTTAGGTTTGAAGAAGACATTTTGTTCACAAGCAGAAGGGGAGCTCTAGATAACCTGAGGTTTTTCCTCTTTTTCAGGACATGTACCTGAACGCTGGTGGTGTGACTGTTTCCTATTTCGAATGGCTGAAAAATCTAAACCATGTCAGTTATGGAAGGCTGACGTTCAAGTACGAGAGGGACTCAAACTACCACCTTCTGAGTGAGTTAAACATGATCCCTGGTCAAAATTCATAGGAAGGAAAAGAAACTCTCTCTTCTGAAGTTTATTTTTAAAGACATTTTTTTTCTGCATTGATCATGAGGTTGATCAGTTTTGGTTTCTATCAGATGACTCGCTGGAGCTGATTTCTGATTCTTGAAGCAGTCGTTGCTTTTTATTGTGGATCAACAGCTTCTCCGTTCAAAATCACTCTAAACCTTCTCCAAAATCTTTCTCTTCTTTCCGCTGTGCCCTGTATGAGACATGTCCCAGTTCGGAATAATTGAATGGTACCTTCTTTTGTCTGCCATGTAACACAGACTTCTGTAGTAGAACTTGGATCTCCATAAGCTGCATTTAGTCTTTTGCGCCATGCTCCTACATCTTTGGTATAAAACATAAATTTGTCTTCCTTATCTCCAATGAGAGTGGCATACAGAGTTTCTTGGTTGTCACGTAATTGTCGATCTCGTTGTCTTTTTCTTGCCCGTTTGGAACCATCTTGATGAAACCGCCTGGGCCTCTACATTAAAAGGAAAAACAAGAGACATATTAGACGCACCCCAGCTACTTTGACATGAGGAAAAGCAGGTCAGGTGATATACAGGTGCTGGTCATAAAATTAGAATATCATGAAAAAGTAGATTGATTTCAGTAATTCCATTTAAAAAGTGAAACTTGTATATTATATTCATACATTACATACAAACTCATATATTTCAGATGTTTATTTTGTTTAATTTTGATGATTACAAATGACAACAAATGAAAATCTCAAATTCATCATATCAGAAAATTAGAATATTACTGAAGACCAATAAAAACAAAGGATTTATAGAAATGTTGGCCAACTGAAAAGTATGAACATGAAAAGTATGAGCATGTACAGCACTCAGTATTTAGTTGGGCCTCCTTTGGCCTGTATTACTGCAGCAATGCGGCGTGGCATGGAGTCGATCAGTCTGTGGCACTGCTCAGGTGTTATGATAGCCCAGGTTGCTCTAATAGTGGCTTTTAGCTCTTCTGAATTGTTGGGTCTGGTGTATTGCATCTTCTTCTTCACAATACCCCATAGATTTTCTATGGGGTTAAGGTCAGGAGAGTTTGCTGGCCAATTAAGAACAGGGATACCATGGTCCTTCAACCAGGTACTGGTAGCTTTGGCACTGTGTGCAGGTGCCAAGTCCTGTTGGAAAATGAAATCTGCATCTCCAAAAAGTTGGTCAGCTGCAGGAAGCATGAAGTGCTCTAAAACTTCCTGGTATGTGGCTGCGTTGACCCTGGACCTCAGAAAACACAATGGACCAACACCAGCAGATGACATGGCACCCCAAACCATCACTGACTGTGGAAACTTTACACTGGACTTCAAGCAACGTGGATGAAGTGCCTCTCTTCTTTTCCTCCAGACTCTGGGACCTTGATTTCCAAAGGAAATGCAAAATTTACTTTCATCAGAGAACATGACTTTGGACCACTCACCAGCAGTCCAGTCCTGTTTCTCTTTAGACGCTTCTGACGCTGTCTGTGGTTCAAGAGTGGCTTGACACAAGGAATGCGACAGCAGAAACCCATGTCTTTCATACGTCTGTGTGTGGTGGTTCTTGAAGCACTCACTCCAGCTGCAGTCCACTCTTTGTGAATCTCCCCCACATTTTTGAATGGGTTTTGTTTCACAATCCTCTCCAGGGTGCGGTTATCTCTCTTGCTTGTACACTTTTTTCGACCACATCTTTTCCTTCCCTTCGCCTCTCTATTAATGTGCTTGGACACTGAGCTCTGTGAACAGCCAGCCTCTTTAGCGATGACCTTTTGTGTCTTGCCCTCCTTGTGCAAGGTGTCGATGGTCGTCTTTTGGACAACTGTCAAGTCAGCAGTCTTCCCCATGATTGTGTAGCCTATAGAACTAGACTGAAAGACCATTTAAAGGCTTTTGCAGGTGGTTTGAGTTAATTAGCTGATTAGAGTGTGGCACCAGGGGCCATCAATTTTGAACCTTTTCACAATATTCTAATTTTCTGATATGATGAATTTGAGATTTTCATTTGTTGTCATTTGTAATCATCAAAATTAAACAAAATAAACATCTAAAATATATGAGTTTGTATGTAATGTATGAATATAATATACAAGTTTCACTTTTTAAATGGAATTACTGAAATCAATCTACTTTTTCATGATATTCTAATTTTATGACCAGCACCTGTATTAGATTTTTTTTTAAACGGAGTTCGATTCATGTGGACTTAAGTTTATTTAAAAGGTGCCTTAGAAGCTTCAGTTATTCAGGAATTGGATGGGTTTCCGTTCTTATTGATTGCAGTGAAAATTAGCTTCACTCACCTGTTCTTCCATGTTTTCCAGTTTTCGTTTCAGAGTATCTTATGCTGGTGAAGATTCTCAATCCACTGGACTTTGTTTCCAAGTTTGAAGACGTTTTGCTTCTTATCCTCTCAATTCGAAATGTCAGAAATAGCGTTGAGCTCGAGGCTTTATAGAGTGGACCAGAAACAAAGCCTTGTTTGGTCCTCCCCTTAGGACTTAGTGGTTCAATTTTCATATTTTCAAAATGCTTGTTTTTCTGGTCCAACCGCTTCTAATTTAACACATCCTGTTAAAGCGACGAGTTAAATTTTTACCTAATTTAACCCCATTTGAATTGGTAACATTGACCATTTTAGTTTCTAAATTTTAGGGATTATATTCCTCCTCTCCTCCATCACCTCCTAGGACTCGTCAGAAATAAGGTGATGTAGAATAAAATCTGGGATCTTTCTACGTGGAATTTCAATGCATGGATGCTTAGGATTTAACTGGATGCTTCAGCTTCCTCATAAATGCATCAATCTGGTGTTAGAATTTTTTCAGCCTGATGAGAGCAAAAAAAAAAAAAAAAAAAAAGCTCTATATATATATATATATAGATATATCTATATCTCTCTCTCTATATATATATATATATAGATATATCTATATATCTATATATATATAGATATATAGATATTTATATATAGATATATAGATATATATATCTATATATCTATATAGTTATATATATATTAATGAATAAAATATGTGAATTTTAGTGACTGAAACCATTTTGTACGAGTTGTGTTGCCATAGATGCTGGTTTTGAACATTAGATAGTATTAAAGTAACAAATTAATTTAGAAATATTTTAACAGTGACGGTAACAAAATAAACCTTAAGAACATAAAACATATTTTGCTTCCCTTGGAGCAAACAGATTATTTCCTCTAAGTATCTTTCAAAATGTGTCTAGCTTGTGCATATGGTAAAGTTCAAGCGTTAGAATATTTTATCAAATTTTCCTTCTCTTTTAGTAATTTATTTCCTCTCTGTGTGCCTTTGATTGGCAGAGTCATTGGTTTCATTTTACTCTAAAATCAAAATGCCTGTTTTTCTTGTCCAACCTCTTCTAATTTTACACATCCTGTTAAAGCGATGAGTGATGCTGCCTAATCTGAAAAACAAGTACTTCCAGATTATTTGGATTGTTTTGAGACATCGTTGTTCAAACATTGCCAGACTCTCTGATTTATCTCTGAGTCTTTCTGAAAATCTTCCTAGAAAATGAAACTGAACCAGGCTTTGGACAGTTTCTGCTTTGAACAAGTTGTTTTCCAGACTGAGCTGTTTTCAATCCACCTTCCCATTAGCTGAGCCGCTCAGCTTCCCTGTTAATGAAACATATCCCCGTAGCATTACTGTGTCTCTACTTTGCTTCATGATAGGGATGAAGTGCTCAGTGTAACAATGTTTACCTCACATACTGTAGTATTTTGGTCTGATCTAACCAGAGCCTTCCGTCTTCCACAGGGCTTATGTGGCAAACCATAGAGGTTACTTCTTAATTTTAGCAATTAAATATTCTTGTCAGGCTTCCATAAAGATGACATCGATAGATCTACTGAGGCTGTGGTTTCCTAAAGCTCCTCCAGAGTTGCCAGGCTCTTCTTTGGTGATTCTCTGATTAATGTTCTGTTTCTGTTTGTGCAAAGGAAATAAATATTCAAACCAAGTTTTTCTTCTTCCAGTCCCTTAAGCAATAAATCTTCCTTGTATTTCTACAGCCTGCTTGTGAACTGAAGCTCTCAAACAGGACACCAAATAAAGACGTTGACTCCACAGCTGGACTTCAACAAAACCTTTTTTTTTATTATTATTTCACATTTACCGTTTATAAAATTAGCGAGTTTGACATGATACCAACTTAAACACAGTGCGTGACTCGGGTTTGTCGTGTTTTGTGTGGTTGGACTTGTGTGTCTTTTTTTTCTGTTTGTGTGCCTGTGCATTTGAATGTGTGTGTCGTTCTTCTGTAAGGCATCATGCAGTCGTTGGTTTCTGTTGTCCTTCAAAATAAAAATATACACACGCTTTTCTGGTAAATCCTCTATTATGACTCATACATACACTTACGCACACTCCTAAAGCGCTGGGTGGATAATCAATGGTGTGATTCTCAGCTACAGGGGAAGGGACTATCTGATTGGCCTAGACAGCAGAGAGGGGAGACATTCAGCGCAGATAAACACACAGAGCTTTGCTACAAGAAAAACTTCATTCCTTTCTTTTTGATGAATATTTTTACACTGATACATCAATGGTTTTTTTGTTGCTGAAATCAGGACATGTATTACTAGAAATGAGGACTTGGTTTCTGCCATTTCAATGTGAAGCTTAGAAAATCCTGACCCCGATTTAATTCCTACGGAAAAAATGATCCAAGTTGATTCTTTCCCTCAAACAGTCAGGATTGAGGTAAATTGAGGGTTTTTTGTTTTAATAAAAAGGTCAAATTTACATTGAAACTATTTTACTTTGAATAAATATTGAATGACAGGCCAGCACCAAACTGATACCGGATCCAGCAACTCCTTTTTAAATAATTTTTTATTAATTTTGATGCATGAAATTTAAATTGTTTTGGAAAGAAAAAAGTCTAGATACAATTATCATTGGTTTAAATTCTCAAGTAGAAACCAAACAGGCTTCTCATGTTTTCAGAAGATGTTAAACTTCTGATCCAACAGACGTCTTCGGTTCTGATGCTGTCATCTAAGCTGCAGTCAGAAGACCAAAGGCGGCCCAGTTCAGTTCAATATTTGGGTCATTGGCGCTGGAAGGCTCAAACTTGTCACCTAACGATGCCAACATGTGAGCTGTTGTGGTCATAAGATTCAAGCTGGGAATGATTATAAAACGGCTTAAGGTAACCAGTCAAAGTTTTTTCACCAGCCACCTGGAGCTCCAGAGGCTTTTGTTTATGTGCAAGTTTTCATTGAAACATTATTTACTTTAAAGGACAAATAAATTGTCCAAAGTTGCAGGGAAGCTTCCTCTTCACCCAAATCTAACCAGTAAACCAAAATCTGATTTTTGAACGCTCAAAGATCTTTCCTCTTACCCACACTTTGCAGACACAAACACTTTACGGCATGGACAGGCGTCGGAAAAAGCTTATGCATAACATCACGTTGCACTTTGACCACTTCTACTGTGCTAACCCTGTTCCTAAATGCTGAAGCAAACATGTACACACAAAGCTGCACTTTGCAACACAGAACAGCCATTCTATAGAGAATAGGGATGCACGATATTGGGATTTTGGCCGATATCCTATATGCCGATATTTTAAAACTCATGTAGCCGATAACCGATATCAATACCGATGTTAAAGCTGGACAAAAACAAGTAGTCATTGAAAATAGCAGTTTTGTTATCCATTTCTGACACTTTGAAAAATAATATACTCAAATATATTTTCATATGCTGATATCAAATTGATTTTTAAAAACGCGGTATCGATCTATTTTACTTTCAAAATCTCGTGAAATTTCATCGTTCTGTTACAAACTCTCGTGATATTTTGCGAATTCTTGTGAGATTTTGTTAGTAAAATAGATCGATACTGCATCAATATATCAACATATAAAAAAATGGCAAACTTTTGTGAATTTTCGGGGGATTTCGTAGCATAACGATGACATATAGCAATATTTCATTAGTAAAAGAGATTGATATGGTGTTTTTAAATGGCAATATATCAGCATATGAAGATATTGTGATATTTTAATGTATCAATATTTTTTCCCTTGTCTTTAGAAGTTTTTTAGTCTGTAAAAAAGAAATTTTTGAAGAAGAAGAAGTAGCATTTTATTTTTTTTTATTTTTTAGACTTTAGAAACTCAGAAGCTGATCAAATATCGGGTTAAATATCTGTGGGGTGGCCGATGTCGATAGGGGGCCGATTATATCGTGCATCCCTAATAGAGAACACCTTGGGGAACATCTGCTCATGCATTCTACTGTCACAAACTGAAGCACACATCTTTAATGCACATATCCCTGATGACAACACATGCACACGAGCTTAAACTAAACACTTGGCCTGCAGCACACTCACACCCTCTCATGCAGCTCCTTAGGTTTCAGAATGACTAATTTTTCTTCAACTAGACAGGCCTCTCTTGTAATGTCCTACAGCTACTTGTTTGCCTGGTGATTGGTCTGCTGGTATTTATGGTATGTATTGTTTGTGAGTGTGTCATGCTGGCACATTATTCCAGTTAGTCTCTCTCTGTGTTTGGGTAAGGGCGTTTGAAATTTCTCCGTCGGGTGGCAACAACAACAAGGGTTTATCTACACGAACACACAGGTGAGGCCAGGGTGCAACGAGGGAAGCAGAGGGAAAGCTACAGGGAACTAGACGGTGAGGAGAGAGGTGGCACGGGAAGCAGAGGTGTTGCATCTGGAAGAGTCTGTTCTGGTTTTGGTTCCGAAAAGTCACAAAAAAAAAATGTTGCTGAACAGCTGGAGTCTGGTATGTCGAAGCGAGGAGGGCGGGGGGAAGCTGAAGGGTGCTGAAGAAGACTAGTAGCTCTAAAAAAGAAGAGATGTAGAATGAGAATGACAGAATCAATCGTGTTATTAACAGACATATATAGAGCTTTACCTGACACCTATCATTGGATTAGATTAAAGTTTGGTGTTATAGGTGGAAGACTATTGACATAATATTTATATTTTTTTCAGATTAGCCAGTTATTTTCCAGAAAAACATCCACCATGTTCCATCCAGGTGTTGGAACATGGAGTAAACATATACAAAAGCTTTTTTTATTTTCTTTTTTGTGTGATTCTTCAAAGAAGTACAGAGATAAAGAGATGTTATACATTTCTTAATTTCAAAATCATTTCCATGTCTAAAAATAAATATGTAAACAATGCTTTTCCTAGAAAACATTTGGTTTTTTCATGCTGAAGTTGTTGACATGTAGAGCAGGGGTTTCTCTTTGCGGAATTACATAATAGTGCTCCAGTAATTTTGTATCATGGCAAACTTATCCAGGAAGCTTTTTCAATTCGAAATTTCAGAAATAGTGTTGAGCTCGAGGCTTTATAGAGTGGACCAGAAACAAAGCCTTGTTTGGTCCTCCCCTTAGGACTTAGTGGTTCAGTTTTCATATTTTCAAAATTCTTGTTTTTCTGGTCCAACCGCT